ATTTCTAGATCGTTTTTGCAGTGCACTGGTCTCCTTTCAGATGAAGAAGTCTTATATTTCATTTGGAAATCAGGAACCCAGAAACTGATGGAAGAGTGTAAGAATCCAAATTTAGCAAACAATCCAAGTTATTTGAGGTTTTGAGTGAAGTTTCCACAGTCATGATGTGGGGAGCCACGTCATCTACTGGTGTTTGGTCTATGCTGGTTGCATTAAGTCCAAAATCAGTGTAGCTGTCTAATAGGGATTGTTAGAGAACTTTGTGCACTTTTCTCTGTAAATGTATATTATTTTATTATTGAGGTTGTGTAATATTTATATTTCCTGAAAAAAAGCTGATGCTTACAGCTTTCCATTTTAGCTATAAGACATAGTCAACAAACTTAACAGAAATATTTGCTAAAATCACACTTTTTTCTGTCACTTTTGAGCTAAAATACAGGAAAAGCTATGATTAACTTGGATGAATAAAACTAGTCATTCATTACAGTATCTGGGTTTGACTGGAACAGGATTAGAGTCTAAATGTCTCACTTGCAAAAGCTTTAACCAACATAAATGAGCCCAGTTTTAACAAGGCTTGTTCTTATTGACAGAAACATTAGAGAAAACGTATGAGCTAATTGGCTGTAACCCTGATAGCTTTGCAAAGTCCCCTCTCATCACAGGTTGTACAGCTGGAAACTGGCAGAGGTCTAGTGTTTATCGACAGTGTAGTGTATCCAGTAGTATGTTAGCTATTGATTTGTCTGGCAAGAAAACAGCCTAGAGTGACAGGCCCACAGAGCCAGCTTTAACACTGGTAAAACAGGAAGATTGGCTCTGGACTGTTTCCAGTCAGACACTACAGAGCACAAGGAAACATTCTTCCAGTTCGGAGGAGAAGAAGCTCCCCCTCCAAAAAAAAAACGGAGGAATTAAACACTTTGTTGCAATGAAAAATGGAGGACTTGTTATTTCCTCCCCTGCTTAAGAAGTAGGAGACACTTCTCAGCGTTGATGTGTTTCTCATAAGGATAGAAATATATTCAGTTCTGTCCCAGGGCGTTCATTCGTCTGGGCTCGGGGTGTTTTCATCTGGGCAGAGCAGACTCCTGTGTGGCCCCATTTGACTGCCTGCCCGTCTGACTGGGTGACTCCCCTTAACATGTCCTCACACAAGGCGGCCAGCACTCAAGCATGTGTGTGTTCTCCATGATTCTGTGTACATTGGATGTCTGGCGAGCACGGTTCAGAACTTCTCCCCATCTCCCAGGCTCTCATCCATATCAAAGCTTCAATAATTAATCCCATAACATTTCTTTATTGCATCCAGACATTTCCTGCTCTACTCTCCTGTCACAGTTCTTACAAACATAAGTCAGACTTAAACAACACCCCACTTTACACTGCCTACTCTCAACTGGACCCCGGACATAAAGCTATACCTGTTTTGGCTACACTTTCCTCTTTCTTTAAATAAAGTTAAGCATTAGATTTAGTTCAAGCATAAAGTATTGCTAAAGCATGAATTTCCCTTCAACCAACTGTAAAGGTTAACATATTTGAAAGAAACACACAACTGTCAGGGCTCCTGTCTGTGTGTTTGTTTTTTTGTGTTTGTCTCCCTTCCACCAGCAGGAGGC